CCGCCAGAGGATCATGCTATATGGGGGTCCTTGGAATGGCAAAGTTTGGGAACCCCTGACCTAACCTATGCAATATGGTTTCCTAAACATAACACATGTATTGATATTTCACATGAAAAGCTTTTGAAATGAAGATACAAAGTTGTTACAGGGGTATAGGAGTACATTTGCCATTAAATCAAAATGTGTTTGCAAGCCAAAGCCTGTTTGAAGAAGTGGAAAAAGAACATCATACAGCCTGAACTTCTTCAGATTCCATATCACTCCAATGTGTTTGTACCTGCTGATCTGAAAGGTTTTGTCAGTCAGCACCATCTAGTGGAGAGCTAGTAGAACTTCGTCACCTCCATCACCTCTCACCTTGACTGGTTCTCCTTCCTGTTAGACCTGTTCTCCTTCCCGTTAGACCTGTTCTCACGTCACTCGATGTGTTTTGATACTCTGAAGGGACTAACAGCGTCCTCAGATCAGATACACGCAGACACAGGACTGAAGAGGAAGAGATGAGCAGAGTTTCCTCCTGTTATGGAAATCTGAGACCCAACACTGTGGAGAGTACAAGTCAGAGTGATCAAAACAAATAAATGGTGAATCAGACAGAGTTGTCTTTCTGGTTATTTATTTGAAGCTTCAAATACATAGATACAATACATAGACACAGGTCTCACAGAGTATAGGATAGTCTGCAGGAGTGTGCGCAGTAGTAATAAAATAGCAAGGCTTATATACAGGAAAGGGCGGGAAGCTCAGAAATCTGTCTTCACACGGTCTCATATTGTTATTAGACACCTGTCCTTGAGCTCAGAATAGGGAAGCTCTTGGGAGACTTTGTGTGAAGAGGAGTAGTCTCAACATAGTCTCACAAATCAGCTCTGTGGCCTTGAAGCGCTTGGGAAGAAAACCCTACACTAGAATATGAGAAGAAAACAGCCCATCTCAGGAAATGAGAAGCATTTGGTTTAAACATATAAGGATATAATAAACATTTCCACTACATTCTCCCCTTTTGATCATACTTGATCAATAAAAACCCAAATGACAGGATAGACTGATATAACACATCAATGAATACACTCCATCGCTGGTTTAAGTAAACACATCACAAATATATCATAGAAAACTGGCTGTTTTTGTGGAGGACAGACTCCAATATAAAGACTCCAATATAATGTCAGCATAAGAGGAGGGTACACATGGATTATATTGTAGTGTCGAAACGAGACTCTTCTGATTCTAGCTGGTCTATCTCACTGTGGCGCAAAGGATTGTCGTGTAATCAAATAGCATTATACTGAACGAAAGCTGAGGATACCATGCTGGAAACGTACTTCTTCAGTATTGGGATAATCAAACAGGTACAACTGATTAATAGGCCGAAAATGATCGCCAGGGCAAATATGCAGAGGAACCATTTTATGATTGTCCAGGCTCTCCAGTAGTATCCACATTGCACACGGTTGCATTGTCGCCTTTCCAGGCGAGCCCTCATCACGAGGTGGGAATGCTCCATGGGGTGTGTGTGTGTATTCCCTCGGTCGATTTTGTGACACGGACAGTCAGACTCCGCACACCGATAACACAAACGAGGAACCAGAGAGCATATGGAACCGCTCAGCTGGCACTCGCTCGTGACACCTTTTGTGTAGTGTGTTTTTGTGTATGTAGTGCAAGTGTGGTGCTGGTGGTGACTTGGACACGTCACTTGTTGTCATCTTCCGTTGGTGACTAGGACACGTCACTTGTTGTCATCTTCCGTTGGTGACTAGGACACGTCACTTGTTGTCTCCTTCCGTTGGTGACTAGGACACGTCACTTGTTGTCGTCTGCTTCCGTTGGTGACTAGGACACGTCACTTGTTGTCGTCTTCCGTTGGTGACTAGGACACGTCACTTGTTGTCTCCTTCCGTTGGTGACTAGGACACGTGACTTGTTGTCGTCTGCTTCCGTTGGTGACTAGGACACGTCACTTGTTGTCGTCTTCCTCTACCGTTGGTTCTACCGTTTCTCCTTTCCTGTGACTACGACCTTGCAGTGGCTGGCGTGGATCCACGTGGCTCTCTCGGCGACCTTGACCGCTGTCTGGGTGACGAGAAGCACCTGGTAGGGACCTTGCCAACGATTGGATTTCCAGCTCTTTCTCCGGAAATCCTTGACCAGCACGAAGTCGCCGGGTTGGAGATGGTGAAGTGGACCAGTGGCAGTCGCTAAAGTGGATGACGGGTTAACACAATATGACAACATAGTATCCTCACACAAAGTTGTGGAGGGAAGAGGACATCCTGGAGCCTTGAGTCCAATCTGTGGAGGAGCCCCAAAAAGGATTTCAAATGGGCTGACGGTTGACTCCGTGTTCTTTTCCGCATCCGCATGTACATCAGCACAATGGGCAGAGCTTGTGTCCATGACAGACCTGTGTCTGCACAGCATTTTGCTAGCTTGTTTTTTATTGTGCCGTTCTCTCTTTCCACCCCACCCCCACTCTGTGGATGATAAGCACAGTGCTTTCTGATGTCCATGCCCATGTATTCTCCTATCTGCGTAATGGCCTCATTAGCAAAATGTGAACCGTTGTTCTAATTCAAAGGTTGTCGCTAGAAATGTTGTCTGGTAGTCCCCATCTAGGAATGATTTCCCTCAGTGCCTTTGCCACAGCATTTGCTGTCTGTGCTTTTACTGGGAAAGCTTCAACCCATTTGGACCACATGTCAACCACCACCAGACAGTGCTTCTTACCCTCTGATGGGCTAAGCTCAATGAAATCCAGCATTAGGTGCTCAAATGGCCTGCTGGGAGGTGGATGTGCTCCGGGTCCTGTAACCTTTACTGGTCTACCAGAATGTTGCATAATGCAAATTAGGCATGCTTCACAGTGCTTCTGAGCGGTTACTGTGAACCCCCTTGTGAACCACTCCTGACTCGAAAAGTGAGGACTCGAGAGTGACTTGGACTCGTGAATTGGTGACTTGACTACAACACTGGTGTTACATACATACCTGCACCGTGAAGATGGCTGCATTGTCTTTGGCTCCTCTCCAACTCTGCCTTTTTTTCGTATTATTTCAGTGTTTGTTTGTTTAAATAACGTTATTGTCATGGAATATTTTTGGTCCAATCTCTGTTGTCTTTGACTTTTGATGATAGGGGATCTTTCCTTGCAGTAAGCTTGGAGAGGCCTCCCCCGCCTTCCTGTGGGGGAGGGTATTTATTCTCGTCTATGCTTTATGAGACAAACAGTCCTTTGTTCTGTGATATCTGGCTTGCATTAAAGGAAAACCCGCGTTTTCTAAAGCCCTCCTCTTCTCATGTATAGATGTGTTCCTGGCTCCTTTGTCTTCAGAGTTGGCCTGGTGTCCCATAATGAAAGTTGTGGCTTTACCTTGTGAATTCTCCGGCCGCTTGTTTGTATTTAGAATAAACTCAGTGCTTTGGCTAACGACGATCCAGTCTCCTTCATTGAACTGAACATTGAAAGACAGAAGTTTTCATCACAGTTATCAATACATTTTCTAAAAATGAGAAGGAGGTCCGGACTAGCCTAGTCCGAGATTTCCTCCGACAGGTACTTCTTCTCGAGAGGCAGCATGACGGGTCATTTGTCACGTTTTGCTCTCAAGAGCGTCAGGTCATTTTGTCGTCATGTGTCACGGAGCAGCTCTCATAGGAATTAACGAAACCCCGCCTCTGACGCTGTGTCCAGTTCTTATTATACGTCCATGGCTACCCTACCTGACAACGCTGTTTGTGTCTGTCATGGAACACGCTGTGTACAAATAGTTCAGTTCAAACAGTAAACTGCGCAAAGAGTAGTGTAATTATAAGATATGAATTAGCCAAACAGCTCAGGCAGGTGAGGGAGAGTCTGTCAGGTTGACAGCCCCATCAATCAATGTTTATTTATAGCCCAATATCATAAATGTTACATTTGTCTCAGTGGACTTCACAGTTTGTACAACATATCAGTATGACAATACAACACCCTCTGTCCTTAGGCCCTCTGTCCTTAGACCCTCTGTCCTTAGACCCTCTGTCCTTAGACCCTCTGTCCTTAGACCCTCACATCGTACAAGGAAAGACTTCCAGAGAAAACCCACAGTTTAAAGGGAAAAATGGGAGAAACCTCAGGGAGAGCAACAGAGGAGGGATCCCTCTCCCAGGACGGACAGACGTGCAATAGATGCCGTGTGTAAATCCAAGAGATAATACATTTTACAGCATATAGACCGAATGTTAGGAAATGCATGTGTCTGTAATAAGAAGATGAATCCACGAGGATGTCAACAATCCTGTGGGAGCCATCAGGGAAGTTGTATGATGAGAGTCAGGCAGGACCGCAGAGACAGGTTCAGCCATGACTCGAAGTCCAGGACTCAGATCCAGAACTCAGGATCGAGGACACACGACCACAGCAACAGGATCAGCCTCGACTCAGGATCCCGGCGTAGATAGACACCAAAAATAAATGTTGGGGAAGCTGGGTTATTTGGAACATGAGAGTGCACAGGTACAGACAGACAGAAGGAAGAAGTAAGGTGTCCCCCGACAGTCCAAGCCTAGCAGCTAAACTAACATGTCTATGTACATGCACTCCCTTAGGATAGGGTGAGGGAAAAGAGTAGGAACTAAGATGCATGCGTCACATCTATACCATGAGCGCATTGCTCCTAAAAAGTTTTTTGGCACTGACACCAATCAACAGTTGTGCGTCGACTCGGCAGGGATCAAGGCACGTATATGCCTCTCCCTGCTTCCACCGTCTACACACAACCAAATTACATCTATACCAACGTGTCTACGTCAATGCGCTCTTATTAGATTATTTTATCAACTATAAGCTTTATCAAAAAGGAAGGTCTTAAGTGTACTCTTAAAAACGGATAGGGTGTCTGCCGCCCCAACACAAACTGGAAGCTGATTCCACAAATGTGGAGCTTGATAAGAAAAGGCTCTGGCTTTAAAAAGCTTGTGGTAATGAATGAGCATGTTGTTGTGTTTGTGTGAAGGTGGAGGCTCTGCTATGGATCAGTGTGAGGACAGAGAGGAGGAAGCCCCCCCCCTCTAAAAGCTCTGGGGAACATGACATCCAGACCAAAGCTCAGAGGTGAGATCTCCACCTGTCCATGACTCTTCTCCATGTCACAGCTCAGCACTCATTATTCACTCAAAGCTCTGTGTGTTGTGTTCAAGTCTAGAGCAAACACCTCATTCTGCTGGACCTGAACCTGGACCTAGACCTACACCTAAACCTAGACTTAGATCTAGAGCAGTACCTGGATCTGTACCAGGTCCTGGACCTGAACCTGAACCCAGCTCTGTGTCCAGTTACCAGCTTACTGCAAGAGACCAGAACCAGGTTTGTGAGTCTCTCTCTACCATCAGCCCTAACTGTATCCCACTGTCACAATATCCCATCTGTCCAGTTCAGGTCCAGGTTATTTCTTTGTACCTGTGAGTAGACTTGGTTTGCAGAAGTAAGAAAAGGTATCCATCATGACACATGCTTCAAACAACACAGACACATTGAAAACCACTAGCACAGACAAAGCTGTTTTTAAACCTCTCGGTTCTATACCTTTAGGAAGATGAACCTCCGGCCCGAAGGAAGAAGCTGAAATTCAGGTTGCAGGGGGTGGGAGTCTTCATTAAACATGGAGTTAGACAGCCTCTGTAACTGTCTGATGAGCAGGGGCTCCAGGTTTAGCTGTGACTCACCAATCAGTCTGCTAGACCACTTTATGATCTGACTGAGACAGTTTCTGCTCTTTAAAGTCAGGTTACCAAACCAAGACATTAAAGGAAAAGACAGGATTCACTGTGCTGACTGTCTTCAAGTTTAGGATTGACTTCCTGAATGTCTTTCGTGAAGTCGAAGGTATTAAAACAAGTTTACAACCGATTAGGGTATTTACTAACTCGACATCTGAATTGAAGCCATCCAAAGTCACATCGGCTGTTCTTTGGAGCCTGTTATGGTTTTCAAAAGTAGAAAATATAATATAACAATATATAGTTCTGTAAGATAAAGATGTTCTTTCTTGGTATCTTTGCTCTTCAGGGAGAAAAGATGGAGACGCCTAGAAAAGTCCTATTAAGAAATTTAGAAGCTTTGGAGGAAAAGGACTTTATAAAATTCAAGTGGTGCCTGGAGGAGGAGGTCCTAGGATTCCCAGGAATCTCAAAGAGTCGACTAGAGAAAGCAAACCGGATGGACACAGTGGATCTGATGATTCTGTACTACTGCATAAACACCATTAAAGCGACCAGAGAAGTTTTGAAGATGATCCCGAGGAATGATCTAGAAGAGGAATTATCAAAAACCTCATCAAACCCTGAAGGTAGGTCTTTAAGTGTGTTACCAAAAGATAACTTTTTTTATTTTGCACAGCCATGTATCATGTTTTTAGACTCCTGATATACCCCTCAGAGAATCATCACCTCTACATGGTGTCCGGGTTGAAGTTCCCCTGAAAGCAGAGGGATCAGGGTCACTAGTTTCTGGCAAGGTCACCCTGTTGGTTCCAGGTTGTAGAACCTTTATAGATCAGCATTTTAGGAAGCCAATTACCTTTCCTGGATAAGTGAGACTGGAGTTTTGGTGGAATTGTCCAAAGATCGGCTCCTATCGTCACTGTCAGGATTGGGGGAAATAGGACCCAAGTGCAGAACACAGACAGGGAGGCGGGTATCCCAACACACTCTCACTCATAATCGTCCAGGAGCGACACTTGGTCAGTGTCCGTGGCGTGCAGTTGTGACGCTCCTAGGCTCCTTCAGCTTCATAAAGGGACGCACATAGCTTTCAACTGATTGCAATGTATTCCCATCTGCGGCGGGATTTGACGCTCATGGAAGCACGGCATTCGTTTGTGTCGGCTGCCCTTAAAGGCAATGTGAGCGTCCATTCTCATTGGATAACGGAGAATTGTACACCCGGAAGTAAGTATTCCCCTTACTGTCGATTGATTTTACAGTGATATCTGCACTACTCATCGACTAAGAAACACCAGATTATCCTTGTTGATTACACAACATTGATTGGTTTAAATTGTGTGCAATGCTTTTGTATTTTTCCCCAACAAATATTTTTTCGGAGTAAAGGATGGCAGAAGACACGACACTACCCAGAATCCCCAGCTATCGTTTAGGACTACACCATGTGCTCTGTTTTACAAACCCCGTGATTAGTCCTCAAGCTCTGTGATTGGTTGACCTCCAACTGCATTCCATATGAAAAAAAACGTTTTGTAAAAGATAAAATCATACTTTATTCAGCAGTGCTTGCTTTACTCTTTGAAAGTCATCACATGAATGCATTGTAATAAATGGTTCGGCCGCATTACATATTACACATCTGTCGTAGTTCTTTATTTATCTATTTAAACAGCACTTTGAAATGGAATGAAACCCATCACCACACTATCCAAATCAAGACTCGAACGTGTCCCCCCCCCCCCTTAGGTCACAGGCTCCTCCAATAGTGAACAGTGCAACGTTTTTTTTCCAAAAAAGTGCAGAATACCGTTTTGATAAGGGATCAATGTGTGTAGTCTTTAATATTAAACATGATCGCTGGTTGATAGCCACAGAAGTCGTATCACAGTTTAATCTGAGCGGATCACTGTTTACCACAGCTCTCCACGCTGCGTTGGAGATGGGTGTAAACAACTCAGACAGACTGTATGTTTCACTAACAGACGGTGTGAAAGTATAAACGGGTCTCAAATCAACTCGACATCATATTAATAACGATACACGATATACATATAAGACCAGTGGCGGCGCCAGGGTATGGCTGGGGTAGGCTATAGCCATACCAAGAAATGGCTTAGCCCTACCTTAGCCCGACCATGAAAAATTATGTTAAAGTAAGCATGTTGAAAACACGGATTGCGAAAATCTACAGGTCGTGTCCACAACACACAAATCTCTTTATACAACATTCATATTTACACAGATGGCTGACATGAAAAGGAGAGGTGATACGTTAAGATGGGTGACTTATGGCGCGTTTCCACTGCAGCGGGTAGCTCGCTCTAAGCGAGTCGGTCTGAGTATGCTAAACTAGAGAGAGAATCGCTGGCAAGGGGGCTACAACTACAACAAGATGAACATATTTGACCGTGATTTAATTGTAATACACGTTTCAAAATGATGCCGAAGTAACAACATACTGATACCGGTTAGTAAAAACCATGAATTAATGCTTTGACAAGTCTGCAGACAGACGGCAGGCGAAAAACCCTTTTATAATGCGTGTTTTCTAAATGTAGCTTGGCTAAGCTGACGTTATATATGCTCCGACCGTCCACACTCACAACAACGGCCTACAGACATAAATAAACCAGCGACTGTATTCTCCATGACACAGGCAGTCTGTGGTTTGTACTTTGTACAACTTTTGTCTAGTTTCTGAAGAGATATGAGGAGCTGTGTGCTCTGAGTGCTAAGAGCTAACGGCTGTGTTGTTTTTCTGGGGCTCTCATTGAAGATGACGTCACGGCTCCGCCTACACTGCGTTACTATAGTAACTACCCCAGTTCCTAAACTGTAATGGAAGCGCAGCATTAAAGTGAGCCGGGCCTAATAAGGCCTAACTAAACCGAGCGAGGCCTGCAGTGGAAACGCGCCATAAGCAGTGGGGGAGTTTTATACAAGGTGTGAAAATTCTCTCGCGTTATAATATCAGCGCGGCTGCGGTCAGATCAAAATGCATCCGAATGCAATTTTGAATAGACCTACAGCCAATCAGAGCAACGAAACGTTGGGTCTGCTGCGTCATGCATTACTGATTCACGTTCACAGTGAAAAGTCCCCAAACTCGCGCCGAGTAAATTGCAGACAGACAGCAGAACTTCTAGGATTAATTGTATATTTCGGATGGATAGATTTGTTCTTAAACGCCCTCGCATTGAGGTACAACAAGTCGAACAGGCGCTTTAATGCGACCCTACAAGGATGGCTTTACGGATGTACAGACTCATATGCATCTCCCTGACTCTGCGCTCTGCTGGCGGCGAACGCAGCTTCTCCTGTCTCCGTCGCATCAATAATTATCTAAGAAACAGCAGTGGTGATGCACGGAACAGTAACCTGGGCCTGCTGGCTAATGACTATCAATAAGCAGAGGAGTAAGGCACTGGATGTCCAGCGTGTCATTGACATTTTCGCTTCCAACCACAACAACCGGCGGATCGTGCTGCTTTGAGAACGTCAATAGTGAGTTTTGAATATATTTTGTAATAATGGGTCATTTGAAAAAGTGGCCACCTGTTGTGTGCTGTGTCTGTCTCTCTCTGTTTACCTGTGTCTGTGTCTCTCTCTCTGTCTCTCCCTCACTCTCTCCCTCTCCGTGTCAATTCTATATGCCAACTTTTCTTGTTTCTGCCGCTGCGTAGCATGCTGTAACAACGTGGAATTAGCTAGGCTATTGTATTGTTTAACTCACACCTGTTGCTCTCGATGTAATTTTGCTGATAAAAGCTAATAAAAGCCTCCCGCGTGGCGTTTCACTGTCAATGGGTGCGATCGTGCGATATAGCGTGTATGTAATATTACATTAGGCTACAAATACTGACTTGAGCCCCACCACTGTATGGGTTAGCCCTACCATAGACTACCCAACAAAAATACTCTGGCGCCGCCACTGTATAAGACAACAAGAACAAGCCACAGATGTCGTATCACAGTTTATCCTGGGCAGAGCTCTCCACAGCTGAAGACTTCTCCACGCTGCTTTCAAACTGTGAGTAAACAACGTGTGCTTCACTTGGAGGCTGTCTGAAGGTATGCACAGGTCTCAGATGGACTTGGTATCACATTAAGAATGATATTCAGTAATAAGTCTGGCAACAATAAATGGTTTAAATGATTTATTCAAGCTTGCAATGTTTTGAATGGACATCCCCAGTCACCTCATGTGTCTTTTTGTAGTCCTCACTGTACGCGTCCGCATATCGGCATCGCAACCACAACCCCACACACTGGTACTGAATGTGCATCAAAGTGTTCCTATGGAGCCAAATATACCAAAAGATTTATGTAAACGACAGAAGAAGCGATCGAAATGTGTATTTCCTGGTTATTCGACAAAGGCCACGCCCCTGATACATCTGCCTATACCCTTATAGAATATCACCAGTTGTTCTGCCCACATCTTATTCGGTAACAACGCCACTTGAAATAGAATTCAGCCATAACACGGCAGACAAGTCAGGCATGTTTGGAATGAGTCCACAACACTCCTGATTGGTTAATATAAACGCAATTGAAGAAACCTGCCAATGAGAACTGTCCGCGCCTTCGTTCACATTTGAAACATCCACGTCAGTTTGAGCGGTCTCCTCCTGCGAGCTACAGCTGTCTGTGTGTCTGACTGCTGCAGGAGTTTATGGATTAATATCGGGATCGTTTTACATCTACACGTTAAATATGAGCATCGGGACGTCAACAAAGAACAGAAGACTTGAGATCTGGTGAGTCCTGCAACTGTAATGGAGTTAAACATGTATTTAGATAATCCTTAGTTTGTGAATGTTTTATTTTATATTTAAGGTTACATTTATTCTTCTAGTTAGCTGAGTTTCTTCCCGTTCAGTGGGTATGCATCATGAATAGGTTGTTAAATGTTAAGAAGCCCTGAGATGCTGTTTCTTGCAAGATGTTGCGCCCGGGAAACCTAGCTTAACATTTGGCTGCTAACGTTAGCTTCCAGTTTATTGCAGTGCTGCCCCCCCACCCTCTTGATTGATTGATTGATTGATTGATTGAAAAGTTTATTAACAGCTTGTATATTGGGTACAGTACAGTACAGCTCAAAACATACAATTGTTAAGGGGATGCAGACCAGAGAAAGACTTTCGTCTTGTTTACATCAGGGTCCCCCATTTCCAATTCATCATATCATTTAAGACATATAAGACATATAAGACATATTTGACATACAGATGGCTTATTTACAATTTACATACAGGTGGTTTTTTACATACAGATTGCTTATTTACAATTTTCATTTTAGATTTCGTTCTAATACATCCTAACCGGACATTTAAGACATACCAAGTCTACAGATGTACAGTTAGTAACAGAGTCTAAAATGCGAGTATACATAGATGGGGGGGGGGGGAAGCTGTCCATTGAACGACAGGTTGAGATTTGTACCATTACCGGGGCCAGTTTTGCAATGCTCTCCCCCGAAGGTGCTCTTTAAGAGAGGTTTTGAAGGTAAGTATAGTTTTACTTTCCTTTACAGTTGTGGGAAGAGCGTTCCACCTTGATGTGGCATCATTGCGAAACGTGTATTCCCCCTTTTTTTGTGCCAAATCTGGGTTTCACATGA